ACTAGCTACATACTCTTTCTACATACACACGCTATGAACACGCGCTGCATACACACGCTACATACACATGTTACATACACACGCTACATACACATGCTACATAGACATGCTGCATACACATGCTACATACATATGCTGGATACACATGCTGCATACACCCGCTACATACACATGCTACATACACCGCTACATACACATGCTACATACACCCGCTACATACACATGCTACATACACCCGCTACATACACATGCTACATACACCCACTACATACACATGCTACACACACCGCTATAAACACACGCTGCATACACATGCTGCATACACATGCTACATACACCGCTATAAACACACGCTGCATACACATGCTACATACACATGCTGCATACACATGCTACATACACATGCTACATACACCGCTTTAAACACACGCTGCATACACATGCTACATACACATGCTGCATACACATGCTACATACACCGCTATAAACACACGCTACATACACCCGCTACATACACATGCTACACACACCGCTATAAACACACGCTGCATACACATGCTGCATACACATGCTACATACACCGCTATAAACACACGCTGCATACACATGCTGCATACACATGCTACATACACATGCTACATACACCGCTATAAACACACGCTGCATACACATGCTACATACACATGCTGCATACACATGCTACATACACCGCTATAAACACACGCTACATACACATGCTGCATACACATGCTACATACACATGCTACATACACCGCTTTAAACACGCTGCATACACATGCTACATACACATGCTACATACACCCGCTAGAATGAGTGTGGTATTTTATTGATTACCCACGTTAAGTATGTATGTAAGTGTAAATACATAACAACTTTTGTTCGTTGACACACCAAACTGAAACCGGTTGCAAAATCTGGTTGCGCATGAATATTGATATATGCCCAAATATGGGCATTGTTTACATTCCTATGCATACGCATTAACAACATGCGCCTGCAGTTGTGTTTGCAAACATAACAGCACCGACGCTCAAGATCCTTTTGGAAGAATTTCTTCAACGTATGAGAAATCAAGCGCCATGTTGTTAGTACGCAGGACACCTATAAGAAAATTTGAAAAGTCACATTAGCGCCGCGCTTTGAATATCGGACCAACAGTCGGTCACTCGCACTGCCGGGGTCTGTGCATTCAAGATGGTTCGGTTTCCTTGATCTATCATTTGAATTTATATCATGTCCGTACCATTTTGGAAGAGAAGTGTTCGCCTAAGACATTCATGTTTACTGCACCACCCTTTATTGAAGACCTGAAAATCGTCACGCTAAGTCTGCTTGCATTCAGTGACAGCTTCGAACGAAGGGCAAGGTCACCATCGGAATAAGAAAAAGCAACCGTGATCTACTCAGCGTTTTAAGCTAGAGATAGGGAATATTATTGTTCACCTTTAGGATGTTTTGGGCCACATAATCAGAAATCAAGCACACGGAGCTTCTACGGAGCTTTCGAATGATTTGTATCGGAAATTTTCACTTGAGTGATCTGGTTGTGCAGTCGTGAACAAACAACTCCCAAAACAGTGCCACAAAATACTTTTTGAAGAGGACACTGAAGGCACAACCGGAAGTAAGTCTAGATATCTGTCCGGATAGCTTAAACTGACTTCATTTCACCACGCTTATCCTTTTACGTTAAATCAAATTGGAAGTTGCGAAAGTGGTCGGGTGCGACATGCTCATGTGGACCCTCGGTCTATTAAACGGTAGTCGAACATTGTAAATGGATATAGCTCGATTATATAATGTCTGTGGAAGCTCAATGCATAACTTACTAGTATATAGGATGCAAACATAATTTATTACTTGACCGTGAAGAGATCACCCGTTTAATAAACATACAGCTGTATTACACATTGTGTAATACCAAAACGCGTGCTTGTGTACTCTCGGAACACGGTTCACGAACAAATATTGAAAGCTCTCAACATCACTTGGCTTATTCAAAGACATTGCGTGTGGAGTTGATAGATCACTGAGAGGAGCTTATGCACACTCGATGACCCCAGCAACCTTGTTGCTAGGGTGACGTCACATGGCATTGTTTCGCCGATGGGTCTTGCAACAAAATTCCACAAATTACGTCATCGGGTATTGTGACGTTATTGTAAAGTTTGAGGTACAAGGCCCGTTCCACAAGGCGATCGTATTGTAGCGCAACGACAGTCGTTAGTCTAAGTTAAAGTATGTGAGTTGCGATAGTCTTAGCCCTACGATAATTTTGTGAATTCTAAAGGTGGACCGTTGTATGGTATTAAATTCATACCTTTCAACTTTTGACGTGTTTGAAGTATTATTCTGTTAAACTCAATTGGACTTTGCCGTGGATCGTGTAGGTGTCAGCTATCCTATTCATACTCAACAGTATAATTCTAAAAACGTTGTAAATGGCAAGTAATAAATAAAATACTAAACTCGCTCCCGTGTAAAACCAATTTTATGAAACTCGCGAATAGTTGTGGTATCTGACTCGCTTTCGCTCGTCAGATACCAGAACTATTCACTCGTTTCATAAAATTGGTATTACACGGGAGCTCGTTTAGTATTCTATATTTATGGCGTGTGACTATCTTGTTTGGTTTAATAAAGAGTTTGTTAATATCCCTCGCTCACGTGAGATTGCTTCAGTTCTGCCTTGTAGTTGCAAAATGAATGACGTCTCGCTATTTTTTATGAATGAAAAAAGTAGTCCCTGTGTGACAGAGGTCACGGTTATCCAATCAAAACGAATAAAACATGGTCAACCTTGTACGACACACGTGTGACGTACGGATTTAGTATCTTACCACCTGTATCTTCACCACGTGGGTAATAAATACACATGCTACATACACACGCTACATACATATGCTACATACACATGCTACATACACATGCTACATACACATGCTACACACACACATGCTATTTACACACGCTAGAAACACATGCTACGTACACATCGAACCAACGATCATAGTTACGCAAGGGGCGCAACTCTGCACAGGGAAATGCGGCGCTTCAGACAAAGGGACAGCCCTTCATACTTATATATTTTAAAGTCATAACATCGCCGTGAGCATACTTATTGAAAACTTCAATCTTCAAGCACCTTCCAAGTTAATGGCCTGCCACAACAAATGGGTCCTATCAAATGGCCTACACCACCGTTGAATATATTTGCGGCAATATACGTAAAATGCACATAGTTGAATGTATACAATTCCCAGACATGGCCACATGAATACCTGCATGGCATTAGTGTAAGATATAACGCATTATGTGTCCCCCCGCATACTTTAGAGCCTAAACACTTGCAATACATCTTTCTGTTAACAGCATTACTATTCTGTCATGCGTTACTGACACGCTCTGGTTCACATTATTTGTATGGACAAGTTTCGTAAATGGCTCCAAGTGGTGTGTATGATAAAATTATTACTCCCCAAATGTTTTCATTAATTATCTACGGTATTTTCTTACAAACGAACGATTGCGCAATTTTGAGTAATAAGAGGTCGAGCTGTACTACAGACTAACACTGCACCCCTGAACAAACTAATAACGTGGTCGAGCTGTACTACAGACTAACACTGCACCCCTGAACAACCTACTAACGAGGTCGAGCTGTACTACAGACTAACACTGCACCCCTGAACAAACTACTAACGCGGCCGAGCTGTACTACAGACTAACACTGCACCCCTGAACAACCTACTAACGAGGTCGAGCTGTACTACAGACTAACACTGCACCCATGAACAACCTACTAACGAGGTCGAGCTGTACTACAGACTAACACTGCACCCCTGAACAACCTACTAACGAGGTCGAGCTGTACTACAGACTAACACTGCACCCCTGAACAACCTACTAACGAGGTCGAGCTGTACTACAGACTAACACTGCACCCCTGAACAACCTACTAACGAGGTCGAGCTGTACTACAGACTAACACTGCACCCCTGAACAACCTACTAACGAGGTCGAGCTGTACTACAGACTAACACTGCACCCCTGAACAAACTACTAACGCGGCCGAGCTGTACTACAGACTAACACTGCACCCCTGAACATCCTACTAACGAGGTCGAGCTGTACTACAGACTAACACTGCACCCCTGAACAACCTACTAACGAGGTCGAGCTGTACTACAGACTAACACTGCACCCCTGAACAACCTACTAACGAGGTCGAGCTGTACTACAGACTAACACTGCACCCCTGAACAACCTACTAACGAGGTCGAGCTGTACTACAGACTAACACTGCACCCCTGAACAACCTACTAACGAGGTCGAGCTGTACTACAGACTAACACTGCACCCCTGAACAACCTACTAACGAGGTCGAGCTGTACTACAGACTAACACTGCACCCCTGAACAACCTACTAACGAGGTCGAGCTGTACTACAGACTAACACTGCACCCCTGAACAACCTACTAACGAGGTCGAGCTGTACTACAGACTAACACTGCACCCCTGAACATCCTACTAACGAGGTCGAGCTGTACTGCAGACTAACACTGCAACCTTGTACAACCTACTAACGAGGTCGAGCTGTACTGCAATGTTCCTTAGAAATGGGCAACCTACTAACACTATATACTTACATACAATCGACAAACAATAAAAAGTGTTAGGACGGATTAGTAATGTGTCTTTGTCATACACGAATCGTATTGCTATACCACAAAATAACGAGATCTGTAGTGTAATATATACTAACCACATATTGTTGAACTATAGAACAGCGTGGTCTTGTACCAGATATAAATAACAAATTGCTTTGCCTAATACGAACGAGGTCGTGGTTTACGCCATTGTCAAGATGGCGCTGTAATTGAACGCAGAATAACAAGTCCCCTAGTTATACAACCCACATACCCCGTGGCCTAGTGAATTCATTATCTCGACAACCAGACATACCTATACGTACTCACCACAAGCCAACACTAGTCCTGATACGACTCCATTAGCAATGTTAACTCCATTCTTCTCTTGATCGGCCATGTTGCTGAAGTGGTGACAGTGTCTTATAAATCACATCCTAGTTCAGACAGTAAGTGGGTCGCTTTTTTGTCGTCTCATCAATGTCCTTACTGGTGTTTCCTGTTGCGTGATAGGCAGGTAAACATTAGGTTAAGTTGCAGAGGTTCAAGTTTTGTTGAATGACGTGTTTTCAAGTTTCTTCGGCTGGATGACGGTATTATTTAGATCAGAGTCTTGGGAGATACTAAGTTATATTGACGGATACTGTTCACAAGGACAAGATATGGGTGTCGCCGAAGTGAAAAAGTACGCCATTGATACTCTGTAAAGAATGAATAGCATGGCCATGCGCGCATTGATCTCAAGTACTCAAGTTTAATCCACCAGACAAAGACACCTTTCAGTCACTGAATGAGCGAGTGAGTTTAGTTTAACGCTGCTTTGAACAGTATTTCAGTTACAGCACAGCCTGCCAGCTTGATGTGAGCCTAATTTGATGCAGGTCTTAGATTGTGGTGAAAATCACGAGCACGGGCAAGATGCTGACAAACCAAGAAGTAAATCCGGGATTCAAACCCACAATCATAGGTTTCAGGCTCGTCAAAGGGACACAACTCTGTAACACGAATTGGGTCACTTACGTCCTCATTTAATCGCTGTGTGTGCACTCTTCACAAACTGATGGGCACGGGTGGCACAGTTGTCTAAGGCGCCGCAATTCGCTGTGCAGAGTTGCGTCCCTGCGTCCCACGCCAGAAACGTATGATTGTGGGTTCGAAACCCGGTTCGCAAGAATTATGTTTCTAGGTTTGTCAGCACCATACCCGTGGTCGTGGGTTTCACCAAAGGGATAAACGTCTGAGACCTGCATCACTTCGGGCTGTCCTCCCACATCAAGTTGACACGCCGTGATATAACTGGTATACTGTAAAAAGCGGCGTTATACCCAACTCATTCACTCAATTTTCACAAACTGAGGTCATTGCGTGCAATGAATGTTATCCATGTTATACAAGTATGTTTTGTTAATGCATTGCCTGAACCGTGACGATCCGGGGTGGAATGGGTCTTCAGCAACCCATGCGTGTAAGAGGCGACTAACGGGAACGGGTGTTCAGGCTCGCTGACTTGATTGACGCATGTAATCATATCCCAATTGCGTGGATCGATGATCATGATGTAAATCACTGAATTTTCTACATACCGCCGTCATATAGCTGGAATATTGCTGAGTGCGTCGTCAAATAAGAAACAAATAATGCATTTCCTAAACGGCATCACACAAGATGTCTTCTCTTTGACTTCGGCAGTGTCTACCTGATTCAATAAGGAGGTCGTGAGAGCTACATCTAAATCGGACTAACGTCACTCAGAATTTCTTTAAATCTAATTCAAACAAATAGTGCTCTCTATTTAAGAGAAGATAACCATTTTTGGAAGTACAAAGCCTGTGTTACGTCCATAATAAATCGTTCTGGCATAGCTACATTTTGTTCAGTCCACACACAAACCTTACCCAGTTGAATTAATTAACTGTTGCCATACGGTGCCCAGTTAGATTAACCATTTTTGACGATAATCGAGTAACATCAGACTGTAACATTTCTTTGGAAATCTTGAATTTGGCATCTGTAGTTATTCCAACAAGTATATTATAACCGTTATATGCGCGCCTATGTTCAATGGCATCTTTCACATTCACCATGTACCACATCATTTGGAGTGCTAGGTTTAACACCGAGATAGTTCTTCCAAGAATATAATTAAATCTTTTCAATAGCATCTATTTTGTGAATCTCACATTTCGGCTCCATACAACAAAATTGTACTAGTGTCTTTAGTGTGAAGGTTTTGAAAAATATTTTATAAGTTACATTTCCACTCTGCTTAAGTTTTTGAAAAATGCCAATAGAAATTTTCTTAGCTTGTAAAGCAGCCTTTTTACCATGCACTGACCATGACAATCTGTTAGTAAAACAGACACCAAGGTATTAATAAAAAGTAACGACATCTCGAGGTTGCCCTCTGTAAGACCATTTTTCTCTTTGCGATAATCTGCCACTATGGAATACAGCTACTTTTGTTTTGTTAACATTCACAGAGAGTTTCCATTTATCACAGTAGAATTCAAGTTCAAATATTTGGTTTTGTAATCTAGGTATTGTACTTGAAAACATTACAATGTCATCAGCGAACAACAAAAGAAGTAACGTAATGTTTCAGGTATATAGGGTATATCTGTATACCATCTGTACAATTTGCATTGCTTTGCTTTCCTAATTCATTCATAAACAACTGAAAGAGAAGAGGACTTAAAATACATCCTTGGCGAACACCAATATTACACGCAAACGTATCTTATGCACGATTTTTATTTAGCACTCAAACCTTTAAATTATGGTAAATGAAGCAAAATAATTTCCTCATTTTGCTACCAAGTCCATGCGTTTTAAATAGTGTTTATCTCAATGAACTGTGTCAAATGCTTTCGCAAAATCTACAAATAAGCCATATAATTTGCCACCCTTTGTTGTAAGATATCTTTTATAATTGACTGTAAAATAAAAACGTTATCAATTGTGCTCCCTGTCTATCCAGATTGTGCCTCGTTGACTTTTTAAAAGTCTCGTGTATTTATGATATATGTGTTTACACTTTACTGAATCACAATTCATCTACAGTTTGTTTGTATTAGTCAGAGTTCCTTGTTTGTGAAACGGAATAATAATGCCAAGTGGCCAGGGAAGAAAGAATTTTCTAACATGATCTTGAAGATCAGTTCGAGATAAAGAACTAATATGTCTGATGAAGTTTTGCAAAATTCTGAAATAGCTTTATCAGCACCTGATGTGTTCTTATTCTATAAGTGATTAATACTGTCAAAAAATTCTTTCTTGGTAATTGGAGAATCGAGCATCTGTGTTGTCACCTCGTTAGAATGATTATCATCGACATTAAACATCCCAAAATCATCTTCGTTTCTATCAATAGGATTAGATAATAATTCTTGAAAATGTAGGAAGCAATCTTCGATTTTAATCTTGTTCTGATGTCGATTTGAACGGAGACTTTTTACAGAAGACCAAAACTGTTTAGAAATGTTATACTCGCCTCCAAAATTTCGGGTTTAAGTTTCTAATATTCATTTTTCTTTTTCCTACACATACCATTGTATTCATTCCTAGCAAGTTTATTGTTATTTAATGATTAAATAATGTCTAAACTTTTTCAAACATCTACATCGTTCTTTCTTCAGGAATTGGCATTCATCATCAAACATTTGCTGATGTGGTATCTTTTTGCATTTACGTTTTTTTCATACATGAAGCCGCAGTGCATAAGGCATCTGTGATATATCTAATGCTTTCGTCGATGTTAGTAATTGCTGTGTCAACTCCCGTCTCCAGTGTTTGAAATACGTTATCTCCAAACCTTTTGTCTGGATTTTCCGAACGCAGTTTATTAAGCTCTTGCCGTTGAGAGTAAGTAAAGTCATAAGCGACACCCAACCCAATATCTCTTAAGGTATCCTGCAGTCCAACTGTCTGGATCTTGTCTTTCCAGTGTGACATTTTCAATATCAGGGGTTTTGGTTTTCCCTGGGTCGCAATGAAGGTAGTCCCTGCTCCTTATCCCTAGCCCTGTTCAATACATCTAATGCCTTTCCTTTGCAGACATTGTATGATTCATTGTCTCCCTCTGGAACGCTATATAGTATAACATTGTTTCTTCTGCTTCGTTTTTCTTGATTTTCAACTCTGGACTGTAAGTCATCGATGCAGGTTAGATAGCCTTCACTATCATCCACTCTGTCAGATAAAGTATTGATATCAAGTCTTAACGTAGCCCGCTCTTCTTTGCTACTGTTCACATCACACCACGTATCTCTTTCTTCATAGACTGTATCTAATGAGCTAATATCCTTGGAGAGTTTATCCTCAGGGTCCTTGTTTTCTTGTATTATAGCTGATTATAAGTCCGCAATGTCTACCCTGGGGGTCCTTGGTTGAGTTCAATGGCTCCCGCTAGATTTAGGAGTTTCACAAACGTGTGTATTACCCATTTTCGCCATGTTTGTTTGTTTGTTTGTTTGTTTGTTTGTTGTTTAACGCCGCACTCAGCAATATTCCAGCTATATGACGGTGGTCTGTAAAATAATCGAGTCTGGACCAGACAATCCAGTGATTGACATCATGAGCATCGATCCACGCCATTGGGATCGATGACATGCATCAACCAAGTCAGCGAGCCTGACCACCCAATCCCGTTAGTCGCCTTTTACGACAAGCATAGTCGCCTTTTACGGCAAGTATGGGTTGCTGAAGACCTATTCTACCCCGGAATCTTAACGGGTAAACAATGTTTCGTATGCATTCATAATTCATCAACTCTCCCCTTCCAAATACAACGATGACTGTATATCGAGTGTATTTAATGTGGATCCTATCATCGATGCGGTGAGTGTACCAGCACACAATACAGTCAGTCAGAGTGTGGTACACAGTAACAAGTCATGGCCGTACCTGAGGTCCTGTCCAACATCGGTGGGTAGGGTACAACTTTTCCACATGCCTGGGTCCTATGTGGATGACAAAAGTATCTATTCCCGACCTCCATGCCTCCACAGATATACCATTTCACAGTTTGGCTTTTTATGGTGTTATCGTCGTCGAAATACTACCACAAGGTTGTAAATAGAGGCATTTGCATGTACACCCGAATCCACACCTATTGATAACTAACCATCCTTTCCTAGTGTGATTGAAGGATCCACGAAGTAAACACTATTTGGCAAGAGTGTTAGTGCAAGACGAATTGTTGTGTATTATAGTCCACGTATACAACATGCCTGACCACCCGATCCCGTTAGTTGCCTCTTACGACAAGCATAGTCACCTTTTACGGCAAGGCTGTGTTGCTGAAGACCTATTCTACCCCGGATCGTCACAGGCCTAAAAACCAATGGAAAGGGATAATTGAAGGAATTGAAAGATCTTCTCAGGTCAATCTTGGATGTGAAAATACCTTCTTATGGAACCATACTTCGACCGTGATATTGTTTGACTGATGACTACATTTTGTAAAAGTCAAGTCATGCTCCAGGTGTCATCACTTGAAAGCAGCACATATTCTCCCATGACAACCTGTATGCTGAAAATATCAACAGTTCCATGTTGCAAGTGTTAGTCCATCCAGGTTTTCTGATTCGTCTGAAGGTTTCTTAGATTGGGACATATGTATTTGATGTATCAGCCATGGTTTAGA